TTAATTATTACTTACATGTCTTTATTACCGATGGGGATATTGAACACACCGCACCGCAACTGACGCACAGTGTTAAAGAGTACTAGGAATGAGATGCTCGATGAATGAACTAGTTGCCAGCGGCTTTTTTTATCTGTGACATTATAACAGCTATTTATAATTACGAAAATAGTTAATAATTATAATAATTGCTATTGAAATAAATATATATATGTATATATTTGCCGTATTTGTAATCGAAATGGAAAATCTCTTATTTTAAAATTGTCTATTTTGCACATGACCTTATGAAATCTATATAAAATAGGTTTCATACGGTGATATATAATAGAAATTAAAAAGTAACTTATTACCCTGATATTAGACAGATGCTTATTTTCCTAATTAACAAATGTATTTAACAAATTATAATTAGTAGTAGAAAGTAAACTATTTTATTTACAAGAAACGGCGTGACGATCTAAAATAGGTAGTAAAATTAGCGGAGATGTTGGTAATTACTTTGAATGACTTATGCGTAAATTGAATTGAATAGCTATTTCTCTAATATATACTTACTTTACGGTACTACCTGAATCATTACCCGATATTGGCATCCTATTTATAGAGTAATATTAAGAAATTTTCATTTAAAAACATTACGTCATATTCAGTTATTGGAGTTTTATTTTGTACGAAAGCAACATTTTAGGTATTTTAACATTTAATAGTTGTTGGATAAAAAGAAGAGTAAAGGACAAACCTGGTTCACTTAGTCCCCGCGTGTAGGTCTTTTGTACGCGTTCTCGTTCTCTCTTCAAATTATCACTGTATGTTGCGCGGAGATCGCGGCTGATTGAATCATTCGCAACTGGCGGAGATTTTTCGTGTACTGGCGGATCTTGATTAGCTCGACACGCAGTTGGATTATATACTGATTTTGTCCATCTACCTCCCAATGTGATCCCAGATTTGATAGGGAATATGGATAGGGAAGGAGGGTAGAAGGATATTGCGTTCGAAAATGTTTAATGCACATACAAATATTTACCAATAGTTTTTGAACTGAATTTTGATAATATTATATTTTACATTCTTTTATTAACTTTTTTTTTAAATTTAGCTTTACGAAATAAGAGATTTAATTTTTTTGTGTAAAAGATAAAGTAAAAAAAATATTCAATCGTTTTATAAATTCCTTTATTTATAAAAAGTTATATTACCAGTGAGTAACATGGGTTGTATTTTATTAAAAAGAAAATAATATCTTCTATATTAGTTACATCCTTGCTAATCCGGTGCAGTTTGTATAAAATGTAGCTAGTCCAATAACAGCTTTGTCAAATACCATTTCTAACACATACAAATTTACATTTTTATTAACCAATAAAATCGACATATAATTATGAAATTATTAATAATACTACACAACTTTAAAACTGATATTAAATATTTGAAAAAAATTATTACAGTGCTCAAAGGTTCATGTCCTAAATTTTGAACCCTAATATATAAAGTTTTTATATATATAATAACTTGATATTATTATATTTATATAATTCACCCATTCATACTTTGTTTATACAAATTGTTGATGTTTTAATTGAAGCACTCGGCTACAATTTAACATTGTTATAATTTACAAAAAAATAACTGGTTTTTATCATAGATAATGAAGTAGTATTCTTCAATCGTGACATCACTATTTAGTTTGTAATACAGTTCTGTCATAGATAAGTAAATTACATTTATGTTTAGTTGCTCTATGTCTATGGTTTGTGTACTGACAAATTCCTTTTTTACGAATATAAATATATTATTAAATTTGTGTAATGCATCTATTTATAATATCCTTTCTGACTTCATAATAAGTAATTATATTCCTTTATTCCTATTTTTATATTTCCATTAGTTGTATTTATTATGTGTCTATATTTTTCCCTTACTCTCTTGATCTTTAGATTATATAGAGGTCTCCATACAAACGCTTCAAATAAAGCGGGTCAACTTTTTTATATAATTGTGTACACAACAGTGTTATCAGATTAGAAATGATTAATTTAGGCCGGCAGCACACCTGCAATGCCGCTGGTGTTGTGGGTGATCATGGGCGGCGGTAGTCACTTACCATCAGGTGAGCCGCATGCTCGTTTGCCCTCTGTGTTGTAAAAAAAAAATGGTTCTATTAACCATTTTTTTTTTATAATATCATACGATCATGATTATACCAGAGGGAGACTTTGTACAAAAGTCGATTGCTTGGGTACCTCTGTCCCATTCGTGTTTCAACCGTGAAGCAGTTGTGTTTGCATGACTGTGTTTCGGTTTGAAGGGTGGGATATGGCGTGAATTTACAGGGTACAGAGGAATAACACCTGAGTCCTCAGGAATGGCAACGCATGGGGGGTATCATGGGTGAAACAGTATAGTCTGCTATGTCCATGGTACTGCTCATGTCTATAGGCGACGGTTACCACTTTCCATCAGGTGGGCCGTCAGCTTGTTTGTCATTCTAAGTTGCATAAAAAAAAAAAAAGCTATGCATATTGCTATGCAGACGACAGTACAGGAGATACATTATATACCGGTCATGCAAAGATCTCGCGGGCACATACCGATGAGTGCCGGAATAGACTTGTGTCTGAAATCGAAACTTCACTCCATCAAGTTTCGATCTGGGGTGAACAAAATCTTGTCTAATTTAACCCCAAAAAGACACAAGTCTGCGCGTTTACCGCAAAAAAGACGCCGTTTGTCGTATCTCCTCACTTTCAGGGCACTTCCCTTGATAAAAAGTCGAGTCTAGGAATTCTGGGCGTTGATATATCTTGCGACGTCCAGTTTTGCGGTCATCTTGCGGTCAGCGGCTAAGATAGCTTCCAAAAAGTTAGGAGTGCTCAATAGAGTGAGACGATATTTCATGCCAGAACACCGCCTGAAATTATATAAAGCCCAAGTCAGGCCGCATATGGAATACTGTTCTCACCTGTGGGCAGGAGCGCCACAGTACCAACTCCTTCCGTTAGACCGCATTCAAAGTCGGGCGGCTCGAATTATCGATAGTCAACGCCTTACTGTCCGACTTGATCCACTGAAACTGCGCAGGGATGTTGCATCTCTGTGAATCTTCTACCGAATTTATCATGGGGAGTGTTCTGAGGAATTGTTCGGATTGATACCTGCTGCTGATTTTCACCACCGTACAACCCGCCACAAACTAAAGTTTCATCCCAATCATCTGGACGAGTGGCGGTCTTCCACCGTGCGTTTTTCAAGGCACTTTCTTCCACGCACAACCATTCTTTGGAATCAACTTCCAGCAGCAGAATTTCCGAACCGATACGACAACATAACCTTCAAGAAAAGAGTATATTCCTTTTTTAAAAAGGCCGGCAGCACACCTGCAATGCCGCTGGTGTTGTGCGTGATCATGGGCGGCGGTAGTCACTTACCATCAGGTGAGCCGCATGCTCGTTTGCCCTCTGTGTTGTAAAAAAAAATGGTTAATAGGCGAAGGTCGTAATTTAAAATATTATTAGGATTAAATAATCCTTTATAATATTTAACTTTCCTTGTATAACCAATTATACTATTTATTTATTTATTAAGAATAATGGGTAGATAAACAATAAGAATGTAGTAGATGGAACTTCATAATTATTTTATATTGCTTTAAAAAATAGTAAAATTTGGAAGTGAAGGTTGAAAATTGATATTTGTGGAGCCATGTATACTATAAATATGGACGGATAATGGTAACGGCCATTATAAATACTTTATACTTGACCGATTTTTTTGAATATGAATATCTTTGTAGATTTAAAACGTGTATTGATGTTAGAAATAATGTATAAAAGTGGGATCTATTTTAATTTTATGCGAAGTTGTGGAAATACCTACGTATGGGAATGGAAAATATGAGTTAATTAATTGTAATTGATTAAGTGTAAAAAGTTTTTCATTGTATTTTATCTTAAGTTCAATTTCTTAATGCTATTTTGTTAATCACTATTTAAATAAATACTTCTATCACTAAGTAAAAATGGCAGCCAATTTGATTTATTCTAAAATGGAATCCATATTTAAAGTGCATACGAATCCTCAGATATTCATTTTGTAAACAATCGGTCAAATAACAAAGAAAGTAAAAATGACGACTATTTTTATTATTTCTGATACTAGATCCATATTTGAAGTATATTAAGGATCATCCGATATCGACTTTGGAAACAATCCGTTGAGTAACAAAGTAAATAAAAATAGCGGTCATTTTTATTAAGTCTGACTGACCCATATTTAAAGTGTACACGAACCTTTAGATTATAATTTTGTAAGCAATCGGTCAAATACAAAGTGTGCATAATACCTACTCAATAATATCTCTTTGCATTTTAATTCATTTGTAGAGATTTTTTTTGCATACTTGCAACACCAAAAATGGCGCGATTTCTTTAAAAAATGTGAACATTTATAATTACATTTATGCTCAAAATTCAAGATATTTATCGGTTAAAACTTTTTTTTTATGCAACTTAGAATGGCAAACAAGCTGACGGCCCACCTGATTGAAAGTGGTAACCGTCGCCTATAGGTAGATTACCATGCACATAACAGAGTATACCGATTGTGTGGTATTTCTGTGTACCCTGTGTGATTTGTTCGATGTGTGCGTGAATAGGGTTTTTTAAATGGATATTGATGATACAAGTGCAGTGCTTGCTGTGTGGTCAGCACATAGAATGGGCCACTCCTTCCTTTACTGTCGGTTTTGTGAAAGGTGATTAATGGAACTTAACGTTTTTATGACAGTCTATGGGGGAGGCCTATCTTTAACAGGGGACAGTTAACGGCTGATATAAGAGGATGATGATGATGACGATGATGATGATATACATAAATAACGGACTTTGTTCAGGTGGATACTTATGAATGGAAGTAAAACAATATTAAATATTAATTATATTTATTACTGAAATTATTAACGTGATAAGGTGACAAAATATAAATGTTAGGTATTTAATATAATTTAAAAAAATTTGAGTAAATTGTAAATGTACCGACAACATGAAATTATCCATAATCTATGGTTAAATTTATATAAAACTATTATACAAGTAAACCAATTTGATATACAAATTAAAAGAGAATTGTTCAAAGCGGTTTAAAACTATATACGATTTGAGAAACATTTCCATGATAGAATAGAACATGCATGCATTTAGATATACTTATTATCAATACTAGATAATGTTTGTCTTTTTTATTTACATAATCTATAATAAATATATATAAAACTAATATATTTTATAGAATCACAAAAAAAAGTAAAAAATTAGATTAATGATCAGTCCCATTCATGATCCGTACTTGACCCATAGGTCCCCATGACACTTGCGGCAATTTACTCACTGTAACAGGTTGTGACTAAAATAAATTAAAAAATTTCAACCGACTTCAGAAAAAGAAGGAGGTTCTCAATTCGGTTTTATTTTTCTTTTATGTTTATTACCTCAGAAGAACTTCATCACTTCTAAATTGACTAAGAAACTTTTTTTTATCTGAAAGAATACATATTATAAGTGATTACTAAGTCTAGGGCAGAGTGGACTGTAGTGTTTGGGTAGATTGAAGAAAACAGTTTGTACGACAACTCTACTTAGTTTTCAGGTTTCTGAAAAGTAGCTGGTATATAGTATCCTCTTGAAGGTCTTGGTCAGCACGACAAGGCATCTTCGTAGGGGTTAGAAATTCAGTCAGGTTCGGGTGTCTTCCTCTTGGGAAGTTCCCGGTTCTCTGCAGTTCAACAGGCGAAATAAACTTGCGACCCGCCCAACAAGAACTCCTCTATACCCCACGTCACTTGCTCGTGATGCTTGGAGACGCTAAGTATTATAAGATCGGGAAGGAGATGGGGCTGGAACTACCCCCCGAGACGGTATGCTAGAATGTCGGCCCTGTCCCTGGTGTTAAGAGCAATTATATTCAAGTAATGCAACCTCTTTACTGTTTTTGTATGATACATTGTTTTGACAGCTTATGTAAAATTAAAAATAATATTAAAATTGTCTAATATGGAAAAAATGCAAACTTTGATTAAAGTGCAGATTTTTATTTAAAAATAATAAAAATACATTCACGGCATATACATTTTGGTCCTACGAGCCGAATGGATGATTTAATTGCTGCCGTTTTAAGTTCTGTGATGAGCTGTGGTATTCAATTGCAAAACGGTAAGAAATATTGCGACGGCTGAGGACGGAGACTCCGCTGCTATCATCGAGTGGTTTTCTAGTATCAATTGCAGCAGTGTGTCAGTCTCTGTATTAGTTTCAAGGAAAACTGTGAGTACAATTTGACATCCGACTTAGAAAATATTCATCGTTTAAATATTGAATTGAAAAATTATTGAAAATGGATGCAAACCTACGAGTTTTAGAAGATATTAAAATTCAAATAGAAAAAGCAAGAATCAATTTTAAAAAAGCGCCGAGAGATAGAATAAATGAAAACTATTTAGAAACAAGACTTCAGATTCTAGAGAAACAATACAATAATTTTACGTCAAAACATGAAAAGTTAATCGCTCTATATGAACCTAATGTTTTAAATGCTACCGATTATGTCAAGGATGAAGTGTTTGAACTAGTGACTGAAACTTATTTAGATTATAGAGTAGAATTAAAAAATGCTTTATCTAATGCTAAGTGTTGTACCTCAAGTAGTAATTGCGAAGTTTCACCTAACTCTTCTAAGGCAGATTCGTTGGTTAAATTACCCAGAATCCGAATACCTGTGTTCACAGGCCGGTATACTGAATGGACTTCATTCCGCGATTTATTTCTCTCGCTTGTCCATAACAATCCCGTTTTAGATGATGTACAAAAGTTGCATTATCTAAAAACACAACTGTCAGGTGAAGCAGAACAATTGATTAGGCATGTACCGATTACTCAATCTAATTATATAAAATGTTGGAACATGTTAATAGATAGATATAATAATAAAAGGTTTATGTCAAATTGTATTTTAAAGCGACTTTTCAGTCAACGTAACATAGTAGCAGAATCTTCTAGTGCTCTTAAGGAACTCCTAGATACAACCACTGATTGTTTACATGAGCTATCGAATCTTGGTATTGATACGGAGTCCTGGGATGTTATTGTAATTTATATTATGGGTTTGAAATTGGACGCTGAATCTCGGAAACAATGGGAATTGCAGGTGAGTCAGTCATCTAAAGATTTACCGTCATTTCAACAATTCAAAGAGTTTTTAGAAACGCGTTTTCGTGCTCTGGAATTCGTAGAACCCAAATATAAACCAAAAGTTGTTCAGAGTAATGTTAATAATCCAAAGGTTTTGCATACTGTGTCAAATATTAAATTGTTCTGAAAATCATAGGTTATACAATTGCAAAAAGTTTTCTCAGGAGAATGTTGATAAACGTCGTAGTATTGCTGAATCGCTTTCCTTGTGCTTTAACTGCTTAGGTATTAATCATAATGCAAGAAACTGTCGTGTATTTAATAAATGTCATGTGTGTAAGCGTAGGCATCACACTCTATTGCATCCCAAAGATCAAACTATTGCAGATGTAGTCGCTACTACATCACAAGTTGAAGAAGTTGAAGATTCAACTCAGTCAACAGAGACAAATATAGCATCCCATTTTTTGAATGGAAGTAAACGAGGACAAGTCCTTTTAGCCACAGCTATTATCAAAGCTGAGTCGAAAAATGGATCAACCCAGGTACTAAGAGCTTTGTTAGACCAAGGGTCACATGCATCTTTTATATCAGAAGCAGCTGTACAGCTCCTTCAACTAAAAAAGGTACCTAGTAAATGCGTTGTTTCGGGAGTAGGTGGTACTAGTAATGACAAAATTTCCAAATACGTTGTTGTTGTCAATCTCCAGTCACGGTATGATCCTTCATTTAAAATCCAAGTAACAGCTAGAGTGGTAGATACAGTAACATCATTATTGCCTGAAAGAAAATGTATAGTGACAGATTGGCCAAAATTGCAAACCTTTCAATTAGCTGATCCTCATTTTAATTATCCTAATAAAATTGACATTTTATTAGGGGCGGAGGTGTATGGCAGTATCTTGAAACCTGGCTTAATGAAAGGTCCAAGTGCCACATTAATAGCTCAGGATACTTACTTGGGTTGGATATTGTCCGGTCAGATATATGAACAGAATTCTTCGCAGGGTTGTCATAATGTCATAGCTAGTATGCATACTCACGCTACTGATGTTAATTTGTTAAAACGTTTCTGGGAGTTAGAAGATAAACCCTTTTCTTATAAAAATAACATATTTTCTCCTGAAGAACAGGCATGTGAAGATTATTATGCAGCAACAACACGTAGGGATAAATCTGGAAAATATGTAGTTAACTTACCTTTTCGCGATGATCCTTCTCTTAAATGTGAAAATTCTAAAGCTATTACTATAAAAAGATTGCATGGGCCAGAACGCAAATTTTTAAAAAGATTCAAATTTGAAACGCCGGTGTTCAGGGGTTATTAATGAATATTTGACTTTTGGACACATTGAGAAAATTGCTGAGGAATCGGATAAAAATAAAGTTGTTGCATAAATTTACCTCATTACGCGATGGTTAAGGAAGAAAGAACTAAGGCAAGGGCGGTTTTTGATGCATCGGGCAAGGGTAGTAACGGTATATCCTTAAACGACACTACAATAGTAGGGCCCACTTTACAGCTAGATTTATGACATATTATCATGAGATGGCGTAAATATCCAATTTGTATGGAAGCTGACATCGTAAAGATGTACAGGTAAATAAAAGTAGCAGAGCAACATGTCGATTTTCAAAAAATTGTAAGGCGAGAAGATATTTACTCTGAAATACACGATTATCGTCTCTTGACAGCCACATTTGGTACTTCTTGTGCTTCGCATCTGGCAGTCAAATCGTTACAGCAAGTTGCTTGTGATGAAGGTCATACTTTTCCATTGGCTGCTGAGCGGGTAAAGTCTGATTTTTACATGGATGACATTATGACAGGCTGTTACATTGAAGAGGAAGTTGTTGAGGTGTGTCGTCAATGGAAAGAGCGATAAAAAAGAGGTGGTTTTGAATTGCAAAAGTGGATGAGTAACAAAATGCATGTACTAAAATGTCTTGATACAGAAAGAAATAATAAAGAAAGCAATGATAAAGAAAAAGCAAACAATTTTGAAATAAAATCTGATGATGTAACAAAACTAATAGGACTTACCTAGAACCGGAACAATGATGAATTTCATTTCATGGTGAAATCTGAAAATATCGCACCTATAACGAAATGAAAAAATGATAATGTAATTATTGAGTTACATGATTTTAGTGATACTTCAAATATTTCATATTCCGCTATGGTAGATATATATTCGAGTCATAGATTGTGAACATAAAATTCATTGCAATTTAGTAAAAGTTAAAACAAAGGTAGTTCCAATTAAACAGATATCCTTACCTCGACTCGAATTATGTGGCGCTGTCCTGCTAGCTAAATTGTTAAGCAAAGTAACTGATCTTTTAAATATTCCAAAAGCAAATATGCATGTGTGGACTGACTCTACAATGGTTTTATGTTAGTTGAGTTATCATCGCAATCGCTGGAAAACTATTATAGCTGATTGTAATTTAGAGATACATGGCAGATTAGATTCGTCACAGTGATCTCATGTTTCATTGAAAGAAAATCCTGTAGATTGTGTATTGCGTGGTATAACACTTACAGCTCTCTTAAAAAAATCTCTTTGGATATAATACGTACGTACAGAACCTAGAGGCACGAAACTCGTTTGAAAGAAAGGATTGTAAAGGTTCATGTAACAGATATTAATGCAAATGGTTATATCAGGATAAAAAAATTGAATAGCATAATAGCAAGCTGTAGATTTTGAAACGAAAGAAACTGTTAGATATACCACATTTGATATACTTTTTTCATAAATTCAAATGGGCTAATTGTACAGCAGGATCTAAAGTAGGTGATATAGTTCTAGTAATGGAAGATAATCTTCCATCAGCTAAATGTTGTTTGGCCGAATTACAGAGTTGCATTCCTGAAAAGACGGTATCACTCGCGTAGTTAGCTTGCGAAGCAAAAATTCGATAATTAAGCGTCCAATTTCGAAACTTTGTTGTTTACCAGTGATGAACTGAATGTTAAATGTTTTATTACTTTTATTGCTTAATTCTAATGTTGTATTTTTCAATAATTGTTATTTAAATACTCTAATGTTTTAATGCTTTATTGTGTTGTCCCTGAAATATGTTGTTTTTAATTTTATGAGTTAAATAGCTTTTTATTTATCTATTGTTAACTGGTCTTGGGGTTAAATATTTATGTAATGTAGTAATATGTTTTGGTTAATTTTTTCTTATACTTAGGTTATGGACTATTCATCCATGGCGGGCGGAATGTTAAGAGCAATTATATTCAAGTAATGCAACCTCTTTACTGTTTTTGTATGATACATTGTTTTGACAGCTTATGTAAAATTAAAAATAATATTAAAATTGTCTAATATGGAAAAAATGCAAACTTTGATTAAAATGCAGATTTTTATTTAAAATAAATAAAAAATACATTTATAGCATATACAGTGTTAAATAAAGAAAAATTACATTATTATATGTATTATATGCCCTTGCAAACCCTCCCTCTACAATTGTTAGTACTAAATAAAAATACAATAAATTACAGATTAAGGGCCGCCGCTGAAGGTGCGGCGGTTCCTTCTCCTGGTAGGGGGATTAATTACACACAGTGTGGGAGGTGATGGGGGCAAGAAGGGGCGAGGAGTGATAAAACTCGAGAGAAGAAACGGGCACAGACATTGACCACATACAATTTAAAAAAATAAAATATGTAAGAAATAATTAATTAATTTAAATTTCGAATAAATCCGATCAACTGAGAACCTCCTTCTGTTAAAAGTTGCTTAAGAAAAGACTTATCTGTGTAATTCCTTTATAAATGTCGACGACTACATGTCTTCTTAACTCTCCTAGGAGGGTCCAGGTGAGGGCTTTGGGGCAGACCCCTTTGCCCCGGCTTTAACTACGGCGGCGATTACCTCCAAGTCACAGAGTCTAAGCACTCTCCGTAACACGTGATCTTTTCTTTTCATTAATGTTGTTACTTTTGACCCTAGATAGTGTTGTGCCCGTAGTAAGTGTTCGTGACACTTCGATCTCGGTACAAGCTGTGGTGTGACGTCACACGTCATTTTCGGGTTTCATCTGAAATTATACGAGGAATAATAGTTTTACAAATGAATGAATAAATGAATGAAAACTCTTTACTGTTCCCTTAAAAAAATGACACATATAAAGATTAGCAATATGTACAGAAAAAAAAATCATAAACGCAAAATAAAGAGGCAACAATGGGCGGCCTTATTGCTTAATAGTGATCTCTTCCAGGCAACCTTAGGATGGAGAGGAATAATTAAAATTGTCTGGTCAAGAGAGAAATACTTATGCTGTTTTAATAATAATAATTTTATATCTGACATTTCGCCCATTATGTTTTTTTTTTATAGGTGATAATCAGGGCCGTAGCTAGACTCAAGTTTAAGGTACAGCAAAGAACACGCAGTCATTTCCGCATTCATTCCCATTCTGGACCCCTTATATAACATTAGTATAAATAAGTGAAATATTTTTTTTTTAATTAGTAAAGAAAAAAAACATGGAAATAATAATAATAATAATAAGTAGATTTATTTTCTCTTCACAATTTATCACAGTGAGATACATTGAGACATGCTTATATTAAAGTAATCAAATTATAAATATAATTGTGAGAGACTGGTGCCTGAGATAGGTATAAGAATACCTGTATTACAGGTCACCAGGGAAAGCTAAAGCTCACATGAATAAGCATGACTTATTTTCTTTTATTTTGTTTTTTATTTAACTTTCTTTTTTATTTTTATCACAAATTATTTTTTATTTATTTATCTCTTTATTGCAGCAAAAACATAAAAATAAACAATGACATATAAAGGTACATAAGGCGGTCTTATCGCTAGGGCGATTTCTTACAACCTTTGGTTAAAGGGGAACGTATAAAAGAGTATCCACTTATATATATATATATATATATATATATATATATATATATATTTATTTATTTATTTATTTACACTTTATTGCACCAAGTAAAAAGAGAAATAACAAATACAGTAAATATTAATGAGAAGTGATACAAAAGGCGGCCGTATCGCTAAGCAATCTCTTCCAGACAACCTTTGGGTAGAGGACATTGAGAAAAAGACAAAGAGTAGGTGGCGCACTATTATATAAATATTATCATATACAAACATATATAGATACATGCATACATATATACACATACATATATAATATATACACAATTAAATATATACATAACATACATACATACATACACATACATATATAATATATACACAATTAAATATATACATACTTAACAGCATACATACAACAGAAAAAAATGACGAAGGAAAACGAAGAGAGAACGCAGGAAAATAGTACTAAAGTGAGAGGTAGTAAGATTTAACAGAGGTTTTGAAGCTAGTAAGAGTTTGAGCGCACCGAATAGAGGTAGGTAGTGAGTTCCATAGGCGAACTGCCTGAACAGTAAAGGATTTAGAATAAAAGGAAGAAGAATGAGTAGGAAATTTAAGTCGGAGGTTATTGACACTGCGTAAAGTATGATCATTAGCCTCACTGAGAAACAAGAATCGGTCTTTTAGACAATCAGGAGCAGCAGGATTAAAAAGGATTGTGTAAAGAAGAGACAGGATATGCAGATTACGACGAAAACGGATAGAGAGCCACTTGAGTTGAGTACGAAATTGAGAAATGTGATCATATTTGCGAAGACCAAATATGAAGCGGATACATAAATTTTGGAGACGCTCAAGCTTGTTTAATTGCTCTTCGGTGAGGTCTAAATAACATGAGTCGGCATAATCAAGAATGGGTAGGAGTAAGGTGTGTGCAAGCGCAATTTTGGTGTTAACTGGGAGGAAATTACGTAGTCTATTTAAGGCAAAAGTTGCAGCAAACATTTTTTTACTGACCTCCGAGATTTGTGGAGACCATGACAAAGTGTTATCAAAAATAATGCCAAGATTTTTTACTTTTTTCTGGTAATCTATCATAACCCCATCAAATACCACAGGCGGAAGACTGGTCGAGGAAATTTTGGAAATAAGTATGGGACTCCCAATAATAATGGCTTGTGTCTTCAAGGGGTTTATAACAAGACCATGAAATTTACTCCAGGCAGATATACGTTCCAGAAGATATTGCTAAAGAGATATCAACCAGAGGGGCTAAAGAGTAAATCTGTAAATCATCTGCATAAAGGTGGTAGGAAGATTGAAGTTTCGAAGTGATAGTGCTAATAAATAAGGCAAATAGAAGAGGAGATAAGACGCCACCCTGCGGCACACCAGCTGACGTATGGCATCAAGAAGATAAAACGTCATCAATGCGAATACGTTGCCGACGTCCAAACAGGTAACTACGAAACCAGTCAATTGCCGTTGGAGATATGTTGAGAGAGGTTAGCAATCCTAACAAAATATCAAAATCAACAGTATTAAAGGCATTGCTAAAGTCCAATAATGTTAAGACCGTTAATTGAGAATTCTCAATGCCAAAACGGATATCGTCAGAAATTTTAATAAGAGCAGTAGTCGTACTATGACCAGGACGGAAACCAGATTGAAGAGGATTTAAGAGATTGTTTCTTGATAGGTAAAAGTTAAGTTTTTGTTGGACAAGGCGTTCTAAGGCTTTGGATAGAAAAGGGAGTATAGAAATTGGACGGTAATCTGAGAACGAGGAAGGAAGTTTCTTTTTTGGTAGAGGGATTATGAAAGCTGCTTTCCAAGCTGAAGGAAAGAAACCGGAGGACTGGGAATTGTTGAAAAGTAAGGTAATGGTGGGTAAAAGGATATCAAGGATAGGTAAAATCATATTACGACTAATGCTATCGGTGCCAATGGCGTTTGACGATATAGACCGTAAACTCTTTTCAACATCACAATCGGTCAACTGATCAAAAATAAAAGGAGTACAATTAGGGGCGATAGTGGATGAAAGATAGTGCAATGTCTTAGATTTTACATTGCTGTCCATGACAGTAGAAGTACAAAAATGATTATTAAGACACTCAACATCAAGATTACCAGGATTATCGTTATGACTCTTACCAACCCCTAATGACTTAAGAAATTTCCAAACTTTTGCTGCATCACCATTTATATATATAAAGTATATAAAGGAAAGTGGTAACCGTCGCCTATAGACATGAGCAATACCATGGACATAACAGAGTATACTGTTTCGCCCATGATACCCCCCATGCGTTGCCATTCCTGAGGACTCAGATGTTATTTCTCTTTACCCTGTAAATTCATGCCATATTCCACACGTCAAACCGAAACACAGCCATGCAAACACAACTGCTTCACGGTAGAAACACGAATGGGGCAGAGGTACTCAAGCAATCGACTTTTGTACAAAGTCTCCCTCTGGTTTATCTGAACAATACATTAATGTACTTGCATGTTATATTTTAAGTTTATATTTGTAAACTTTTGTGCGCCAAATAAATTAAATAAATAAATAAATGACCTCCAGTTTTTTGTTTTGTATTTTATGCCAGCAAAAATATATTTGACTGGTAGCTGTCGTAAGAGGCGAGGGATGGGCAGCTGCATCCCTCTTTAAACATCTTTAAAATTGTAACTGTGGTTGCCAACTCGCCTGCCAAGCGTGACAACTACTGGCAAAACTCTCCTTATGGGAAAGACTTATGCAGGGTTGGACTGAGCCAGAAGGGCTCGGCTGACTAACTGTATAAAAAAAAACCTAGGAATTTCTAAGAGACAAGAGAACAAATATTTATTACCACTTGTATACCACATGGGCAAATGGCAGCATTATCGACGGTGGCAGCACTGCAGCCGACAGCGGCAGTGGTCGCGGTAGCACTACCAGCACTCTACAGCCTCACGACCAAGTGACCGGCGCGACTTACCACCAACTTTTTATTCTTTCAGCCGGTGATGTTTACAATAGCACCGGCTTGGACCTGCAATTCACACAAGAACATATAAAAAAAAAGAAGACGTATATGTTTGTTCGAGAAGACTCTTTTACATTTATAATATTAATAAGGCGTAGGCGGGAAGGGATTGTTAGTAATGGAGAGGTTAGACTCTGTTGCTATCAATATACCCTATTTTTTTTAATGGATGATAATGGAATGGTAACCCCACCCGCGCTATCTGTATACACCGGCGAGGCACCAGTGAAGGATGACAGGTGAGGATGAAGTAGGTCAGTTAGCCCATCGTGACAAATTCAACAAGAATTGTTCACGATGGTTTCCAGGGGGAACCACGTGGAGGTCGACCTGATAAGGCATATTGCTAGCAATGGGGCTGTCAAACTCCATTACTTACAATCCCTTTCCCCCCCAATATACCCTATTAGGTTGACCTCCATGCGGCTTCAACCTGGAAACTATCGTGACTAATTTATCGTTGTTTTCGTCACAGAGGGCTAACTGCCAGACCTGAGGTCCTACCATGAAATGTTTTCCGAAATTTCGGAGCCAAACGAAACAGAAATTTGATGTTAAAATTACATAATACATATCGTTTGGATATATTTAAAATGTTAAAATATTGTTCCTTTAGACTTTTATGATAGGATGTATGACGAACGAAATGTTAAACTCCATTTATTGGTCCGATTTTGGTATAAACAAAAACACGAAACTGAGTCCGAAATTTTGGAATTTCATTTCGTGGTAGACCCGCTGTTTTCATCCTCGCCTATCATTCTTCATTGGTGCCCCGCCAGCGTATATCGATAGCGCGGGGGGAGGGGGTGGTTTAAAATTCCAACATTAATTAAAAAAAAATATAAGGATGTGGTAAGGACAAGCATGAATGTTACATACCTGACTTCATCTCCTATCATCCCTCATTGATACTCCGCCAGTGTAAACTGTTAAGCACCTCCTTGCTACAATGGCAGGCAATATGCATGCCAGCGCCTGTTAATGTCAATAAAAAAAAAAATAGAAGATAAAATGAATGTTTACCCTTGCCTCATACTGAATGTTTTGACTGGCTAATATTAACGTCCGTTCAGTGCCAGCATAGAATAGGCCACCCCTTCCTTTCTCGTGGGTGTCGTAAGAGACGATTAAAGGAATTTAATGGCAGAAAAATGGGCAGCAGCGTCCCTTTTAAAACATTTAATAACAACAACAACAAGTGGGGTTACTATTACATTTACGTTCACTAATAAAATCAAACAAGAACATAATTTTCTGTCAACGATAACGTTAAGGCGCGCACGCCTATGACACCGAATATAAAAAAAAAAAATTAAAAAATTGATCCAAAAACTAAAAACCTATTTTGATTAAATTTCTATGAGAGTCGACCGTAGACAAGAATAACAAAAAATATTATTGTTTATTAAAACAGTAATTGTGTGCATTTATAATATAATGTAAAATACATTATACATATATATTTTACATTATATGTATATTATACAATAATAAATCATATCGGACGAAAACCCATTTAAATAACAAGAAAACATCAGCATCGGACAAAGCAGTGTCTAAAACATATTACGAGTCTATGGATTCTAATATATATATTTTAATTCGGTCATTTAAAAATGGTCGGAATTTCTACTACATAAATATAGACCAAATCCTAAATAGAATAGCAGAAAAAAATTATTACCTACTTAAAGAATAGATTTTAGTAAATATTTTTTTTTAAGTCATTACTTACCCACTTTATTAAACAAGTTATACTTATATATAGGATTCTATGGGGTGCATTAAGCAATATTTTATATAGATATCCAATTTTCAATATCTATACCTAGTATACTTCTATTTAAAAGATAACAGTTAGCTTGTTTGCCATTCTAAGTTGTATAAAAAAAAATATAACATATTTCCGAAATTTGAATTTTGCAATCTACCTACATAGTTTCCAAAACTATTGTGCTGTATTGACATAGCCGATATTTTAACAAATTATCAACCTAAACATTTATACAATAAATATAGGGCTATTTTACTTTTATTTAAACTTCTATTACTTGAAAAGTAATGACTACTCACCAATTACCAGTAAGCAATAGAAAATCACAGTACACATTGTTTATTCGGTCTCTGATAGGTAGAAGATTATAATTTTTTTTTTTTTTTAGTACGTTTGTTCCGTTTGGAACAGGCTAAGGTCGGAGACCATGCTGCCTAGTCTTCAAAAAGATAATTTGTCTGGAATTTTATTTTTCTAATGTCGCTTCAATTATTGTCATAATCTTCAATATTTCATTTGTCAAATCCGGTAAGTACATTTTCATAAATATCTTTTCTTGAGTTTTCTTAAACCAGTGGATTTATCAAATTAAAAATAAATAATTATAAAAAATCATTGTCTTGCAATTCAATAAAAGTATTCTTATAGATCCTTGAATGTTGTAGTAATATAAGTGAAAATAGCTTTGAAACAAGAAGGAAATCTTAAGAGAAGCGGGATTGAGTGCGGGATATTTTCGGGGTTTTTGAAGATAATCCTAAGTTCGTCAAACATAATGTGTCTTTGAATGACAAATTCAGAGCAATCAAAAAAAAGGTGATGTAGAGATTGGGCTGTATTTGAGTTACACCATGTGCATGATGGGGAAGCGATCATGCCCATTCGGTGCAGGTGTTCGTTGAAAAGTCCGTGGCCGATTCGTAATCTACAAATATTGGTGTAAAATTTTCTGTTTGTGTCCTTTCCTTTGCAGAACCACGGTTTTCCAATACGCCAATTAATTTTGCGGTACCATTTGCCTTTAGTCTGTAATATTTGAGTCCAATGTTCCTCCCATTTAGTTGTAACGATTTTATGTATTCCAATACTACAATCTGAGTAACAAAGGGGTAAATCTTGAACACGAGCAGCACTTGAATTAATAATTTTAGCCAAAGTGTCTACTTGTTCATTCCCAAACACTCCAATATGTGAAGGGGTCCAGATGAAGATAATATCTTTTCCATATATAGTACAGAGATGATAATATTTATTACGAATTTCTTGAATTAAGTAGTTTGATGATGAAATGAATGTGTTATTTTTTAATGCCATAAGAACACTCATACTATCTGTAATTATAATCCATTTCGAATATAGTACCTGTTTTTCTATGTATTCTAATGCTAAAAATATAGCTTTTGCTTCTGCTGTGTAAATACTAGCCAAAGTTGAAATTTTATAACCGTGACCAAATCTATTTGACAAATCGTAAAAAGCCACTGAAGTGCTAAGTGCATTTTTGGAACCATCTGTATATATCTGCCTGTAGTCAATAAATTCTGATAAAGTCTCATACATATCGTGCTTTTCTTTTATGTCTTTACGTATAACAATTTTGATTTTACAGAACTTACTCTCATAAAGGCCATTATAACAAGGAAGTATCTTACTACTATAGATGTTATATTCATCTCGTAAATTCAAATCATTGACAATAGTTTTATTCAAAAACATAGAAATGGGGCAATTTAATAATTTGAGTATGAGTGGGTTATTGGAAACTGAAAAAACTTTGAAGAGAAATTTGAGTTTTAGGTATTCGAAACGAAGAAGGATAGGAGGCAAATTACATTCTACTTGCATTGAGATAATTGGAGAAGTATACATAGCACCTAAAATAAGTCTTAAATTCATATTTTGAATTTTTTCGAGTTTTTCTACTAATTTATGTTCTGAGGCATAACAAAAGAAAGCGTAATCAAAATTACTTCTAACAAGAGATTTGTAAAGTAAAAGGATAATTTTAGGATCAGCTCCCCAGTTACGACCAATTACAGATCTTATTATATTAGTGGCTCTTAAAGCACGATCTACTAAGCAATCAACGTATAGATCCCATTTTAAATTTTGATGAAAAATTACCCCCAGAAATTTAACGCTACAGTCTGTTGGAAGAGTTTGATTATTATATATAATATTCATTAATGGAACATATTTATGAACTTGATGAAAAACAACTACTTTACTTTTGGTTAAACTAATATCGAGGGAAAGAAGAGAAAAATATTTCTCAAGTCTTTTTAATGACTCATTTAACACTAATTGCATATCAATAATATTCTTTCCTTTTATATAAATTAATAAATCATCGGCAAATTGCAAGTTGTTCACACTGTTTCCTAAAATTGAATTAAGTTTATAGATATATAAAATATATAGTAGCGGGCTTAGAATACCACCTTGACATACTCCTTTAGAGCTTAACCTAGGTCCTATTAATTTACTATTTACTTTAACATACACTTCTCTATTACTAAGAAAATTATAAATCCATTCGATAAGTTTCATTGGAAGAAATGAGAATAAAATCGAAGATAGAACTGTTAAATTTACATTGTTAAAAGCTCCTACGACATCTAAAAAAACAGATAGAACATATTCATCGTTATTCAAAGCAGTACTAAGGTCGACATAGAAGTTCGCTAAACTTTCGCGCGCTGAATATCCACGGCGAAAACCAAATTGATTCGATGGTAATATACTATTACTTTCAATAAAGAACTCTAAACGCTGTTTAATTAATTGTTCGAATAATTTGCCTGCACAGGACGTCAATGTTATAGGTCTATAGGAGTCGAAATTTGTAGGATCTTTACCGGGTTTAATTACTGGAATCAAACAATCCATTTTCCATTCTGGTGGGATAATACAGTCCTTCCATAAATCGTTAAAAATTTGTAAGAGTTTAGTAAGGTTTATTTTATTCAGCAATCGAAACATATTGTATGTTAAGCGATCAAGGCCACTAGCTGTATCTTTTCTAGATTTTACTGCACTGGATATTTCATCAATTGAGAATGGGTCAGTGAGAAATTTTGGGCATGAATTAACAGAATTAAACTGTTTGTCATCAAAAGGTGAGTGTACAAAATCAGGAGTATATTTGCGTAAAAAATCATTGACCCATGATATATCTTTAAAATGATTTTGACGATGTTTTGAATTTAGTTTTCTCATATTTTGCCAAACAGTGGAAATTGGTGTTAATCTATTAAATTTGGAACAAAATTCCTGCCACCCCTGTTGTCTTACTTGCTTAATTACTAACTTTTTAACAGCTTGAACTCTTTTAAAATTTATGTAATTATCGAGAGTTGGATTTTGTTTAAACCTAAGGTAAGCCGCTTTACTATCATTGACAGCTGTCGCACACCTGTTATTCCACCAAGGTACTGCAATATGTTTGTGCCTCTTTGAAGTATTTGCACCGCTATTTGATAAGTTCCTACGTGAAACGGAACGTTCCACAGCTGTCAAAATAATTTTACAGAACCTATTGTAATTGTTTAAGGGTTCATTGACATCATACTCGAAATCCAAAAGTAATTGATTAACAGTTTCAGAATAAAGATCCCAATTAACGAGACGTAGGTTTATACGATTTAACAAAAGTTTATTAACTTCATCTATAGGAGCATGTTGTTCACCTGACGGAGTTGATGAAGAGTTCTTTGTGTTTATTTTAGTAAAAGTCGGCAGGTGATAACTTCCTAACGGATCATCATGAACCGACCACTCGCATTTTAATGATATGGATGGGGATACCATAGTTAAATCAAGGCCATTGGGTCTCCAAATATGAGAGCCAACAGTAGTAACTTGCTTATCATTTAATAGTACCAAATTACATTCATCTAAACAATCAAGAATGTCTTTACCTCTTGTATTAGTGGAGGTACAACCCCACATAGTATGATGTGCATTTAAATCTCCAGATATGATAGTGGGTTTAGGAAGAGACTCCAAAAAGAACTTAAATTTGGCTTTAGTAAAACTAGGTGTACTATTGGTAGGACAGTAAATACTGGCAACTGAATACCAAGAATTATTAACTTCAATACTAATAGCTATAGTTTGCAAAGAATTGTCGAAAAAAGAGTGAAGTTTTTTATATCTAATACTATTATGTATAATAATCGCTACTCCATTGTGGTTATTACCACAATCATTTCGTTCTATACAATAATCTTTAATTTTTAATTTGTAATGTGGTTTTAGCCAAGTTTCTGAGATGAGAGCAATGTGAATATGATGTTCATTTAAAAATTGTGTAAAAATATGTCGATTGCTCAGTAGGCTCTGAGCGTTCCACTGTATGATAGTTAATTGGTCTCGATTGAATTTTGTGAAATAGGTCTATTACCAAAAGTATCATATAACACATTCAAAACACTTTTAGTGTTAATAGATGTGTTCTTTGTGTTATGTAGTGAAATAAGTTTGATTATGCTTTCTATTAAAAGTGATAAACTCTTGTTATCAGAATTTAGAATTGAAATTACGTCTACATTTTTTTTAGGTTTGTTACCCAGTTTAGGAAATATTTCAGTGCTAAGTATATCTCCAAAAGAAGCAGGTCTGAATTTAGATCTATTTTCAGCAATTTTCTTTTGTTTAACAGGGCATTGCGGTGATACACTTGTGTGATTTCCATTGCAGTGTACACAAATAGCGTTTTCCATTCCAGTTGTACAAGTTTTATAATTATGCTCACCTTTGCAGATGCTGCAACACTCAGAATTCTTACAGAATTTAGCTAAATGTCCATACCTCAAGCACCGGTAGCATTGTTTAACTGGTGGTATATATGGAGTGACATTGTGGCGCCAACCTCCAATATCCAGATATTCAGGTAATACAGATGCAGCAAAAGTAATTGTCACGGTTAGAGTTGGCTGTAACACATATCCATGAGTCAAGGTATTTTTTCTTAAAATTCTTTTAATAGCAATAATTTTCTTAGAACTCGATATCATAGTATATATTTTTTTATTAGATATATTTGTAGGTACATTTCTAATAACGCCTGTAACTTCTGTTGAAGAAGCAGGAATACTGGCCTTAAAATGGTAGTCATTTAAAAAAGTTTTATTATTTAAAAAAGCATTGGCTAAGTCTGGCTTTTGAAAGTATACTCCGATTTTGAATTTATTTATAGATCTAAGATAAGTTACCCCTTTATTAAATCGTTTTAAACAGGAGGAGAGTGAGAGCAAGTCTCTGGATCCAATGGTTTTCTGACTATCTGAGGATTCTACAAAGACAACAAATTCTGTCCCAGGGGATTCCTCGGGATATCTTCTAATATAATCTGTGACGTAGTAAGGTTTATACTTATCGGCCTTATCAATTTCAGATTCTGAGTCAGTAGAAGTATCTTCCGAATATATATCCTTGTCATTACAAGGTTCATGGTCTACATCACCTGAATCGTCATCTTTTTTTTTCCTTTTTCTACAACTGCGCTTCCCCATGAATGCTAATTATATTACTGTCGCTGAATTTAGTGAAAATATAATATTTTATTCAATAATAAGAATTGATAGAGATAGTTTTAATAAATTAATAAAAAAAATTTAAAAAACCCGCTTGTTCTTATTCGAGTTTCCCGCCTTTTTTCAGAAGATTATAAATAGCAAAATGACAGGAAATGGAAAAAAAATAAAACTTAGTTGCCAGCTCTTGAATATATTTACCTCTAAATTCATGTCGCAATTTTTTTATAAAATTTATTATAAAAAAAATATTAAATATTATGTATAATATCAGTAAAACAGTCAACCCACCTGCCAAATGTAGCAACTTTTGGCAACAGTAGTAGATGGTTAACGGCTGATATAACTAATATAATAACCCCCCTTATAGAAACGCCAAACGTCTCATAAACCAAAAATTGAAGCATTTGATCTTTTTCCTTCGTGCAAAATACCTAATTTGAAAGAAAATGAAAAAAAAAAAACAAAAACAGTGATAGTTAAAATAGACTTGTAGGAGATTTTAATTATTATGAATAAAAAGCTAAAATCCGCACTCTAGTGCTATCTCCTAAGATATTTAAAAAATGGATATAAGGGATCTTGATAAGAGTAATTAATAGGTATAACAATATTAATTTTGGATTTATTTAATGTAAATAGGTACTTTTCCCAAAGATTTTTTCAATAAATAACGTTATTTTTTATTGGTAAACGACAGAACTAACTTAATTCCTAAATCGCTCAAAAGAGGCAGCACCAGTTTGCTAATGTAGGTAATTAAAACGATAGCAGAAAATTATATTATTAAAAAACATTGCATTATTTTCGGTTACCACAACTATTTACTTTTATAGGGACTTCGTACTTTATAATGTCAAATTAAAATTTAATATTTTCTGTTTGGTCGTCTCTGGGACCTGCCGTAATGGTAAGGGCGGCGAGGTAGGGGCATGTGTTCGAAGCCCATTACCTCGGTATTTTCTCCGGAGATCACAGCCTCTAAAACGCTGGGTTTTAGGCTGATATACACAGGTGCTATGTATTTTATATATAGAGTTTACACTAATTATCAGAGGATAATAAATAATAGGAATCGAGTGATGTTTTTAGTAGCAAGACAATTTTATTAAGCTAATAATTCAGTAATAGACAGGTACAATAAAAAAACTAACTACCAAGAAGTATTTACACTATAACAATATGTATGTCGGCATGGCGTCTTCTTTGCGTTTTGTAGTGGCGACAAATTTTAACTATTAAACTCAAAAACTAAACAAAGGGACCACTATAGTTCCTTGTAAACTAAGAACTAGGAATTTCATAGAACAATAAAACTGTAAATTATATGATTGCCGCCTTTCTTCTTATGCAAATATAATTAGTAAAAAGAGGACTAAAGATACACCATCAGTTGCTATTTTTGTCAATTTATAGCAGGCTTGTCTATAAAAAATGTTATACGGCCGCAAATACAACTTGCTAGCGTACTTTCTATATAAATTGTATCGAATATATGATCTAGTAATGTAAAATTTGTCATTGACAAATAATTGACGTATCAAACATTTTTTATCTTACACTTATTTACAGTTTTTATCATTTCTCCTTGTTCATAGCTTGTAAATCTTGGGCATAGATAGTTTACACTCTTTAACATAAAAAAATTTGACTGTTGCCATACTTTTGTTTTACTCTTTTTTTTTCTTTTATTATCTGTTGGTCGGAAACGGTTTTTTTTTCTACTAATTTCTGTTGTAGTATATAATTTATAATTTTTCTTCCGTGGTCGCTGTTGATTGTGGTTGTGATTTTTCTTTTTATTGAATTAATTTTATTGTATTTTAATTAGATTGCCGCATGTTTTTTTTTTATTATAAAAATGAGCGTTGATGTTATGAAATTAAAATTGAAAGTTGTTATTTTTGCCGTGAATAGTCTTATGGAAGATTACTTTTAAGTTGCTTTAAGTGCTTATTTTTTTTTTGTTGAGTAGAAACTCGTGGAAAGTTCAAATTTTACGTTGAAACGAAGTCAGTAAATTTGTATTTGTCGGTCGAATCGAATCTAACTTTGCAATTGTTTTCCAATACTTTGCTGTTTTGTCTAAGTTCGTTTGCGTAGGTACCCACACACTGCATTTTATTCATTTGCTAGATACTTCTATATTTGTCTCGTTTTGTTTTCACTCGTTTTTGGTTTTTATTTCCTTTTTGAAGGTCAGTGGATAAATTTTGGGAAGTGTTATTACATTAACATTAATTGTAAAACAATAAGTTCTGTAGTTTTGAATATCTACTCAAATAAAAATAATTTTGTTACGGACAAGGTTAGTGAGTACCCACTGACAATAGTGAAAGTCAAAGAAAATCTCATATTGAAATCCTTTTTTACAAACTTATGTATTGGTATTGGTCTCAAATGGTCTTTATTGCTTCACCTGCTGCTTCAATAAGAAATTTGTCATTACCAATTTTTGAGTGCATTAGGTTAGAAGACCTTTAAAGTAGATTGTGGGATGTTGAGAAAGATGTCGCCATTGTAGATTTGTACTGGTTAGAGCAGTGGAGATGAATCATTTAACACTGTATTTTATCATCTTGTTTTCTTGAATTTTTTTTTATATTTTGAACTAAATAATGTAATAATATTTGGCACCCTTGCAGGCTTCCATATATTATGGTAACTATTTACCATCAAACAAAATGCATATTGTATTTGCTACTCATAAGGGTATAAAACATTATTCAAATACAAGGTTACAACAGTTTAAAATAAAAAATAAATAATTTTTAACCTCATAAAACTTGGTTTCGTAAGTTTATTGGTCGAAATATATTTTTAGCAGGAAAATAAACTGCTAAATAAATAAAATAACATTATTCGACAAGTTATGTCATGAACAAGCGGCTCATTGTTTCCTTAAACTTATTAGTATGATATGGGAAAAAAACAAAAGAAAAAAAGTTTGTTGAAGATATTCAGTATTATATATTTGTAGTTGTCAATGGTAATATATTTTTACAAATTCTTCAAGATCTCTGTTGTTTAGAGTAGCTCTGTTTTTAGAAATAAATTTTTGTAATTCATCGGTTAATTTTGAGTGGTCTCGAAAGATGCTTAGTTGCCAATCTTCTAATTTTTTAATTTAACTGGTATACACAACAGTTATAAATAATTTAAATTATATTTACATTTGTATAAAAACAAAAAAAAATGTTTAAATAATTGATTTGTGGTTTTATATATTTATAAATAATTGAGTACAATTGTATAGTATTATTAAAAATAATGCAGTGGGTAATCATATATTTTTGTTTTGTTTCCAATCTTGTCTTTTAGCATCTTGTACAGTGGTTGGAGTACTAGTGTCTTATCTTTTAGAAACCTTTCATAAAATTTGTATTAGACCTTGAAATGTTTATAATTCTTATTCTTAGGTCTATATTTTTTTTTATTTTCCATTAGATGGGTGTAATCCTTGTTCATCAATTTCATATTCAAGAAAAGTGAAGTGATGGTAACCAAAAATACTTTGCATGAATTTGAAAAATAAATGTTTGTGTGTTTGCATAGGTCTAAATAATAAAGAAAAAAAAAAAATGTATATAAAAATAAATAAACTAAAAAAATTATAAAAGAACAAAAGGATTTAGTGATTGTGTGATGAACTGTAATTTATCATCAGTAAATTTGTTTAATATTTGAAATTGTGGAGTTGTGATTTAAATATTATAAACTAGTCACCCACTCCGGCTTCACACGGGTGAGATAAAAAGGCTACAGCCGAAGGGCACTAAAAACAAAAAAAAATTTAAACTTAATTAAGTAAAAATATAATAACAATATTAATTATAACATATTGATTTGTTAATTAGTCGATGTATGTACCAAGAGTGCTGATAACGGTTGTCGGCTCTTTCCATGAATATTGCGAGCCCTACATTTCTGCTGATTCTGCATCAAGTCTCGTAGGAAGGTATGATGCGCTGTATCGAGGCGTTTCCGTGAATTATAACTTCGGGTTTATAACGGGCGTACTAATAAAGTTTCATTTCTTTATTGACAAACCAAACAATTTGTCTTTTTTGTCGAAATTTTTGAAAATTTCCCTATTGACTTTTGTCTTGGTCACTTTTTATACGAAGATTTTTTTAACTCGAATTTTTCACTTTTTCGTGAGTGTTTTCAAACATTTTTTTACATAGAAATTTTGTCCTGACATTCTCAAACGAAAAAAAAATATTGACTTATAATTTGTGTCGTTCTTTGTGAACAATAAAGGAAAGGGAACAATAAAAAAAAAGGTACAATAAAAAAGGAAACAAAGAATTTTCAATTTTCAATTCAAAGTTTTTCTTAAACTAGCTATTTGTTTGGTTTCTTTTGCTTCTTTTTTAGTCATTTTAATCCCTGTTTGTACAGATTTGGGTCGCACTAATTGAATACCTGATTTCTCCAAATATTTTTGCACATGTTTAAAGCCTCTGTCTGCCATGACACACATACCTCCCTCCAAAGATTTAATAAAATCACAAGATTCTACTATACAGGTATCTGTTGCCCTTCCACCAAATCCAGGCGAAATGTAGTTAACTAATCCATTTGGGGTGCAAGAAATTAGGTACTTAAGTGTGTTTGACTTTTAATAATCAGACCAGGTATGTGCTTGATTAACAGCATTTGATGGCTTTTGGATCTCTATCTCAAGGCAATCTATGATGCAATTAACCTCATAATATTTGTCTGAAAGACATAGGTAAAGTTTTTGTAATCTGTTGAGGATCCAAATTAACAACAAAAGGGCACCTTACACTGGCTATTTTAAGTATACTTTTTAAAAATACTTTGCTGGCATTAGCTGGAGTCATACAAAAATCATCAGCCAACTCTTTGAATTTACTGTTCAATCTGATTTTTTTTTTAAACGTAATAATATGACGTGTTTCTTTACATTTATTTCACTCGCAATTATCTCGACTATACAATAACAACTTTTGGGAATACCGACTACTATAGTTTCTGTATGTTTGTCAGGGAGTGACGTCATACAAGATGCTATGACAATTCGTAGTGTTTTGGCGCGAAATTATAGGTTCAATAAAAATGTAAAATAAACCATATAAACATTTGAATTTAACTGAAATATTTATATTTATAGTATATTTGACTACGAGACGTTTTAAACATGTTTTTGAAAAATTGCCAACTAGCCTATTCATTGAAATAGGTATAGCCATTTTGAAGTGATACATTTATGTACACTTGGCAATTGATTTTTATTTATGTAGATGTGAAAGTGAGTTTTGCTTTTTGCTATTTTATTGGCTCGACAAAGTGTGGAGAAATTGTGATGAAATGCAATATTTTTTTTAAAG